TAATTTGAGAAAGTTTGAGAAGTCGCAAATTTGTCCATTTATTTGTATAAATGTGCTGTCTACACTTCTTAATGCTAAAATATTTACTAAATACTTTTCTCCATTCAAATTGCATTTTCAAATTACTAAAGTTTGGAGATATTTTAGAGAAATTAAACCATAAGAAAAGACAATATTCTGTATCTAATGGAACCATGTTATTATAGCTGTTTTACATTGACAATTTATTGATCAATTAATTAATGCACCAAATCAGCTGTCAAATAACTTCATCAATTTATTCATCAAGTTCTTGACGAATTAGAGCATGTTCTAATTTTCGTCAATTTCTTCGTGAAGTTCAGAAGTACCAACCCAACAAATTTCCAGCCTCAGATCAGCAATGAGGTTATGTTATTGGAATATGTAAATAATTGTGTGGCGTCGTGCTGGTTTTGCTAATATTTATATAATATGTGTCAGAACGGTACCACTGTTGTATCACTACAATTATGAGTGGAAAGGTGACATTTTTGAAATTTATTTGCTTCTTTGATTCATTGGTAGAACCGATTCATGCGTCAAAAAACTTGACAAAGTCCGTAGCAGTGTAAAACCACACTGTTTATCAATAAATTCGTGAATTAATTGATGAAGAACTTTGTCAATTTATTGATAAATATATATAATATATATATAATATTGATAAATTGTCAATGTAAAACAGCTTTTAGAAACTATTTGTCCCTTTAAAGGCAAACGGTTCCCTTGGAAACCGTTGGAATTCATTGGCGTGCATTCGTCACCGCCGTACACATCGAATCCAACGCATCCAAATATCTGTCCACATGTGCCTTGGTATGTGTTGGAGTTTCGGTCTGTACACGGCATAAGACGCGTTTTACACGTTGAAAATGGAAACAGATTCGTTCTGAAAACGATTAATTCTGTTAATACAATTGCTATATATATATATATATATTGTTATAAATTCTTGTCGAATGGTAATTTTCTTACCTGTATTGACTTATTCTGCTTCACTTCCTCTTCTTTGTATCTTATTTTTCTTCTTTATTGTCTGGGCGCCAGCTCACATGAGCATGTAGTTGTAATTTAATTCAAATTTTGTTTATGTTCACATAGAGAAAGCATTTTGTTTGAGAAAAAAAAAACAAATTAATTTAAGATATAAGCAAATTTTAATCTAACATGAGTAGTCTTACCTCAGGGTAAGGTTCTGAGAAGATTATTATATTGATTTTAAAATATTCTACTGATTAATGACTCTAGATACTTAATTTTGAGACGGCAAAGACAACAAATTTATATTTGAATTTTAACTGACTAGTTATTCTATCTCTTGTAAAAAAAATAATTCATTTAATGACTTGGATTCACTATATTTCAAATTAAATAAAAATAATGTGATTCGCTAACATTTGATTTATTTTTCTATTTTTCCAAAATTTTCAATAATTGATTCTATAACTTGACTATATAATAATATCCAATATATTGGATTTAAATATTAAATTTAATACAAGTCTGTATTATTAATAGTCTAGGAGCCAGATAGGGTTTCGTGGCCAATCAGAGTGCCACGGCTGCAAACAACTGATTCTCAAGTATTTTGACCCCCTGAATTCAAAAAACTTGGTCGCAAAACCTGAAAGTGGTCAGTTTAATTGTTATTAACAAATTAAATTTAAAGTTTATTTTTATAGCAAGTACAATTTTTTATGCGTTAATAGTTATGTTTGCTCGTAGCAAACATATATTTTTTTGAAATTTAGCGCAAATATCTTACATTTTCCGTCTCCGCGCACACCAATTTTACCATATCTCTGGTTCTATTGGACGGATTGAGACGCACGACATCTCATTTTAAAGCTTGAACCTCATTTTACGAGATAGGTAAGTTCCATTAATTAATTAATTAATTTAACTTTTACTGGCAGCATAGAAAGTTGTGAAATTTCAACAAAAATTTTGATTTTATTTGTCTATAAGGCTTTTTTATTATTCAACTTCGATGAAAAGCCAAAAAAGTTACCGGATATTGTTCCTCGAATCCTAACAATCATTTCATGCCTTATAGTTATTAGTTTTTCTTTATCAAAATCCGTGAAGAGACGCACGTACGTCGAGAGCCATGTACGCGCCCTCGATCGAAAGATCAGAGTGCAAGTGCACTATATACTTATATGTTTTTGATGTTAATCTATTTATTAAACAACGATTACAAACACCATTCGGCTTTGCAAGGAGATCCTACAAACTATTTGATCAATTTCGGAAAAGGTAAAATGTAGTTCATTGTAAATTTCATTGTCAAGGCATCATTAATAAAATTAATCATAATAACAGGTAGTTTAAATATTTAAAAATGTGATGTTTCATTTTATAGATTATTCAGAAACCACTATCGAAGCAAATAGTAAAATGGTAGAAGAATATTTAGTTAAAGTCTTAAAGAAAGGTACAACCTGTAAGAAGTTTGATGACCTACGAGTATGGTCTTTTCGCCGTTCAAAATCCGCTTTAATAGAAGAGCTGCCTTCTACAAGTGCATCAATATAACTGCATATTTTAACTTGTATACAGGGTGTCTCATAATTAGCTGTCAACCCTGAACAGGACGTTTCTATGATCAAAACTAAGTAAAAAGTTCATTCATATGAACATGGATCCGGAAATGCTTCCTAAGGGCACAGGGACCCATTGAAGAGGGAGGAATGGAAATCATTTTTTTGCAATATCTCCCAATCGCGTTGTGATAAATGAATGAAATTTGGTATACACAGCTAAATTTTGATGAGCAATTTGATGGACTAATCCACTTATTTCCACAAGGTCCATTGGGGTGGGTACGGGGGGCCCTTGGTACTTTGCGTGTGTAACTTTTTCATCTTTGACTTTTTAACAAATTGGACAGCAAATTCCGTTTCCCGAACTGTTTTATGTTAAAAAGGTATTCTTGTTTTAAATTGTTATCTTTAACGGTTTCTGAGAAAATCGCTCTTTTCCATTTAAAGGATTAATTTTTATTTAATTTAATTTTTTATTATTATTTTTTTATTAAAATTATATTAAATTTAAACAAAAACATTTTTTTGTTTAAGTTACTATGAAATTTACCAAAGTGGGATTAATTCAAGAGCGATTTTCTCAGAAACCGATAAAGATCTTTTGATAAAGAAAAACTAATAACTATAAGGCATGAAATGATTGCTAGGATGCGAGGAACAATATCCGGTCACTTTTTTGGTATTTCATCGAAGTTGAATAATAAAAAAAGCCTTATAAACAAATAAAACCAGCATTTTCGTTAAAATTTCACAACTTTCTAAGCTGCCATTTATTGTTAAATAAATTAATTAATAAATAAAACTTACCTATCTTGTAAAATGAGGTTCAAGCTTTAAAATGAGATGTTGTGCGTCCAATAGAACGAGAGATATGGTAAAATTTGTGTGCGCGGACACAAAAAATGAAAGATATTTGCACTAAATTTGCAATAACTTTGGATAAAGTTAATCTTTTTTTAATTTTCAAGAAAATATATGTTTGTTATGAGTAAACGTAACTATTAACGCATAAAAAGTTGTACTAGCTATAATAATAAACTTTTTACAGCCATTTAAACATTTAATTTGTTAATAACAATTAAACTGAAAACTTTCAGGTTTAGCGACCAAGTTTTTTGGATGCAAGGGGTCAAAATACTTAAGAGTAAGTTGTTTGCAGCCATGGCACTCAGATTGGCCACGGAACCCTATCTGGCTCCTAGATTATAAGGGTTTATACCTTTCTATCACTGTTTAACACACTAATTTCTTATCTTGTTGGGCCTTTCTCTCCTCTCATTCTTTTCTGAACCTTTTAGCACGACTTTTGTTCCTGTCTTGTCATCTGTCGTATTTATTTATTACTACTTACTGTCGGTAACTTGAATTAGGTGTGAGTGTACTCGATATTGGGTAGTACGCTATAACATTTAACTTGTTTTCTTTCCTACCTAAAATCACTTTGGTATTGATACGTCGAAGTTTTAATCTGTTGGCTTTTATGTTGTTGCACTAACAACATATTGTTAGTTACGCCATCATATTTTATATCACGTCTTGTAGGATACACATTTGTTCTATTTAAAAAACTATTTTGAGAATAATCATTGCATACAAACACATTCAAAGAATAAATAACTTATATTTGCTATTGTGACAATGGAGATATTAACACAATGTTTATAAAAATGTGTTGTAAAAGTTCCAACAAAATTTGCTAAAGGTTTGTACATTATTATTATATAACACCTGTAACAGCCATAACAAAATAAGTTAAAGAGCTAATTTGTTCTTTAAAGCGACAATCTTGTCTTATACAAAATGTTCTGTAAATGTTCTTGCAGCTTATAAAAAATATCAAATTGTTAGTTAGGCTGGTGTACGAGAATCACTAAAATTGGTACACAGGGGTTTTATGACATGTGGAAATCTGATAGTGCTACGCTTTCTGGCGGGGAATCCCCTAAGACACTTTTTCGTGGGCCCCCTTGCCTTTGGAGCCAAAAAAATTTGATTATATATTTGAATTCCTTAAAAATTATTAGTCCGCTTGAAAGCCATTGAATTTAGAAATTTTTTTGTCTCTTGATACTTATTTTCGTAGAACGCAATGTTTTCGAGAAAAATGGTAAAATGTGATCGAATACATATCCTGATTCGCCATTACATTACTAGTACTATATGTCGATAACCTTTTTAGATTAATTACAATAAAACGAAATTCTTAAAATTAATCATCAACTCATAGATACAATGTATCAACCCGTTGATGGAAAATATTCTATTTTTCCATACTTCCAAGCGAAATCTTGAAATAAGTAAAATTTGTTCATGTAAATTTTTTATTGACAAAATAGAAGTTATTAAAGATTATACTGTACTCTTAAATAACTATAGACATTCTTTATTCGAATATTATTTTTATCTGAATTTATATGAAAATGTATAGGTAAGTATATTAAATGTTATTTAATATTTAAATTCCTTTTATAAACAATAAATACTATTACCGACAAAATTATCCCAGTCCACTGCCTTGAAGATTTCCATAAACGTGAGATTCAACTGGATATGCTTCTCGTCTTTGGCGAACTAAGTATTTGGAAGGGGTCTCTCTGTCATCCTATAATAAACCCATATTTATTACTTCTATAAGACACACAAGAATGTTGAAAAACGAAAAATACAGAAAAAGAAATATGTATGTTGAAAGTAAATATCAATAGTATGTTAATTTTTGAAATAACCAGTTTTAGACGATTGCAGAGAATATTAACATTTTAAAGCAAAATTAAATCAAATCTTGTTAATTCTTTTCCATAAGAACCTTTTATGTAAAACTACTTATATAGTTTTTAATTCTTAATAGTTCAAGCAATTACTAATAATGCTAAGAATTGAAAGTGGTCTATTAAAAATTCCATTTCTCGACTTAATATATTGTATGTAATACAATATAATGGCATTAATTAAAACTAATAAGAAAACTGCGTAAACATATTTTACTTGTTTTAACATACATGGTGGGCCATTAATGTGAGAAAGTAAAATAACTCCCTTGTTATTCATAATACAGAAAAAAGGTTTATATTAAAGTTGTGCAGAATCAAGAAAAACAATATTTTAGAGACAAATTATTTTAAAGCTGCTACTACTTGCTATGAATAAAAGAAGACTGGACCTACTATTTTTTTAAGGAGACATTCAATTTATAAAATTCGGGGTTTAATTTATTTAATGTTCTAGTGTTGCCAAATACACAATTTAAAAAAATAATTCTGAGTTTTTAAAGAAATTATGATTGCATATACTTTTTTATATTTGTATTTTAGATTCAAATCATCTAATATTTATAGAAACTCATTTTCATCTACAGCTTTAAATATAAAAGTAGAGAGGAATAAAACAGACTAAAAAAATAAAGTGCCAATACTTAAAATATCTATATGAATACTATAATTAGATAAAAAAATACTCAACGAAATCATGCTCTGGTGAAATTTAGAAATACCTGCCGAGTATTACATTCATTTTGCAACAATAATTAAAGTTTTAATTGTAGACGTTTCGTCACAGGATACATTGTGCCATCTTCAGAGCAATTAAAAGTTGATGGGTTTCAGTAAGTCTTCGGTAATATCTCTGTATTCTAAGTATCTTCATAAGATACCTAAGTGAACAAAACTAAATAAATAATCACACATAAGTATTGATACATACAGGCAAAAATAACAACTTTAACAGTTGATATATCTGTGTGGTTATTTATGTAGTATTCTACAAAAATTTTATATTATCATCAATAAATAACTTTTATTAGTTGTCTCGAAGTATACATTACATAAATGGTAACAAAAAGCCAATAAAATTGTGCTTCCTTTAAATTTCCACGATTGGCCAGTATCACTGATAAGATTAAGAATGTCGAGAACATTCTTTATTAGAAAAAAAATATATTTTAACTCTTACCTCTGTCTGTTGAACCAGTAAGTACGAATGCTTATTTCCGTAGCTTGGACCATCATTGATGAAGTTAGAAGATTTATAGTTGAACGCTTCTGGCTTCTGCCTTGGGGGAGAAATGATGTCCAGCAGATAAACTACTCCCACCGGCCTTGACAATGCATTGGCGATGGAGACTTCTTGCTCTGCTTGGCTAGTGCCAGCAGCAGCTAGCAAAGTAAGTGCTACTAACCACTTCATGATTGGTTATGTGTTTCTCGCTGAATTATCTACGTTTTTATAGTTTCTTCGCGGTTATATAATACCACCGGGAATTAACTCGTTTGTATTGTATAGTCTTTCCGAAGTCAGTTGAACATGCATAAAAACGCCAGCAATAAAATTTATTGAGTTTCATAGGCGTCCTTAAAAAAGTTTTCTGCTAAAAATAAAAAATTTTAATAATTTGTATATAATGTGTAGAAAATTTCTATTATATGTTCATTTGACCAACGACTTATTTTAATTATTTATTTTAAACAATTTTATTATATTGATGGTAAATTTCGTTTTGTCCCTCTTATTTCTCCCATTCGCAATTGTAAGATGAATGATTAATAGATGGTGCCTATAATAAATTAAATTTTCCTGAATCACACTAAATTCTGCATTGCTGCACTGTACTGCTAAGCAATTTGTCAACCACTTCTATCCTTATTAACTTATGTCACAATCCACACCAGTAGGTATGGCGGCAGTAGCAACTGACAGACGCCCGGGACGTCGGGCGTCGGGTCGGCCGTTTGCGGCCTTCAGTAGTGTGGGATCGGGGGTCGCTCGGTCCAGATCGGCTAGTAGGTACAAAGGAGTTATGGAACTTGAGAATGGTATAAGGTAAAGTTATAAACATAAGATAATTCATTTCGTTCTATCATAATTAACGTATATCCTACACATGATTATTTATAATTATAAAGATACGCAGGTAGCAAAATAATATTTTAGGAATTGAATATAGTTATTTATTTTTAATAATTTCATAACTACGTACATTAGCCGGACTATATATACGTTGACATTTATTTTTAGATACCTTATTGTGCATCAAGGAATGGCCATAATCCTGTTTACCAAGATTTCGAGTAAGTTTTGTCTCTTCACCTTCACCTTCACCTGTTCACCTTCATGAAAATTTATTTTTTTTTTCAAAAAACTATGTACAATGTTTCGATAGTTGTTTGACTAGAAAAGTATAATATACAGTGTGGTCCGAATTTTATGCAGGGAACTTCGAGGGCAGATAGATCTTTTTAAAATAGTAGGTGTTTGCCTTATAAACATAGGTCTGGTACGGCCTCGTTTTAGAGATACAGGGTGTTGAAGTTGTTCAAAAAATTTTTTTTTTGTTTATATCTCCGGAATCCAGCGACCGATTTCAATAAAATTTGGTACAGATAATGTATGATAGTAGGCCTTGCATTCCCTAAAATATGAGCTCTAAAGACTCAACCAGTGGTGTCCAACTGGACAGGGTCACCCCTTTTTTATTAAAAAAACCTACGCCACCGTATTTTTTACAAGCTATTGTAACGAATTTATATTCTAATGCACAAAATATGTAAAAAAGGTAACTTGAATTTTTTCCCTAAAGTTCACCGTTCTCAAGTTATTCATATCAATACAATCCCCTTGTGACAGACACTTCTAACCATAATATTACAAGAATATTTATGTTTATGCTTAAAAGTAAGTTCAATTTGTAAGCACATCAACAAAATTCTTTACACTCATCGCTTTCATCTTTTTTGGATTAAAACAATATTTGAAAAATCACGACAAAGGAATGAAAGGCACAGAAATGAAATTTTAAAAGCATTTGATGACAATCCTCGGCTAAATAAACGAAGAACGACTCGGCAACTTGGGGTGAGTAAATCGAAAATTTGAAAAGTTCTACGTAAGGGTGGCAAAAATCCGTACCATTTACAACCTGTGCAAAATTTACTTCCGGGAGATGCAGAGAGACGCCTGAATTTTTATCAGTGGTTGTTTAAATTCTTACTAGAAATACTTTGGACCGATGAGGCTACGTTCACAAGGCGAGGGGTAGTGAATTTTCACAATCTGGAAATTTGGTCACAAGAAAATCCTCATGAAATTCGGAGTCATTTCTAAACATTCTAGAAAACCATCTATTTGAATTATTAGAGGATGTTCCATTAAATATACGACAAAATAGCTGGATACAAATGGATGGTGCTCCTGCGCATTTTAGGAGAATAATATAATAATGGCTTAATGAAAATTATATGAGATGATGGATAGGTAGAAGACCAAATGCCAATGTCAACCATAATGGTGCCGAGGGTCCAGTGTCTTGGCCAGCCAGATCGCCAGATCTAAACTCCCTGGACTTCTATGTTTGGGGTGACCTACTTGAAAAGTTTACTCTACTCCAATAGATACTAGACCACAACTAA